GCCGCCACCACGGCCGCAGCCTCCGCCTGGCGCCGCCGCGCAGCGCCCGCTCGGGCCGAGGGAGAGGCGGCGACAGAGCCCGCCCCCTCTCCCGGGTACCGCCGCTTCCATAGGCTTAGCGACGCGTCCGTCAAAGCCGGCCCCGCCCCGGCGCGCCCCTCCGGGCTCTCGAGGGGCGGTGCTGCGGGGCGGGGCCGGCGGAGGGACGGGCGACGCGGGTACAGACTACAGGTCCCGGCGTGCCTTGCGGGGGGGCGGCCGCGGCAGCGCGGGGCGCGCCGGAGCAGAGCATGATGGGAAAGCGAGTCTGGAGGGCGGTCGTGGCGGGGCCGGCCGGCGTGTGGGGGCACCCAGGTGTGGGGCGGCCATCCAGGTGTGGGGTGGGCACCTAGGAATGGTGGGCACCCAGGATTGGGGGGCATCCAGGGGTCTTGGGGGGGGGCACCCCGGTATTAGGGGGCCTCGGGGATGGGGGAGCTCGCAGGGGTGGGTTACGGGGGGTGGGAGGCGCACGCCCCCCACAGTCGGTGGGGAAGGCCTGGGGAGGGCTGACGGGGCAGCCAGCACCCACCGAGGGCTGGGGCTGGAGAGGTGGCATCCAGCGTGTCCCCAGGGGACCGGGACGGCCGTGGGGGCCGTGGACGCCAGGCTGAGCCTTTACCCATGAAGGGCTGCGGCACCCATAACCGCTCCTGCTGCTCCAGCGGCATCTCACCGGCACCGGCCAGCCTCCATCCGAAACCCTCGGCATCGGCCTGGCAGCAGCCTCTGGCAGATCCCGGCTCCACGAGGAGCCACTCCTGGGCCCGATCCCACGGGATTCCCATGGGAAGGTGCCGGTGCCCAACTGGGCGAAGGTCCCCTCCCTGCCAGCATCGCTGACAAATCCCTGTGCCAAACAATGCGTCCCGGCTACTTTTTCGAGCAGGCAGCCTGCTAATTAGGTTCTCAGCCTGGCTGCCGCCAATTAGTCCCATTTAGAATGATATGTGTGTCTGCCCCAAACCCAGGAGCAAGGGGCCCCCAGCCCAGCGAGTGCCGGGGATGCTTATCAGCATGCAGAGATGCTGCAGCTCCCGTGGCTCCTTTGGGGAGTTCCCAGCAGCTGCGAGTGCCGGAGAGCTCTGGAAAGGACTGAAGAGTGTGGCAGAATCTGCAGCAAATTAAGATTTGGGGGTCAACCCTGTGGATGCGCTGGCGGAGCAGGAGGTGGGTTGGGGTTGGCATGTTTGGCTGGGAGCGTCAGGCTGCGCGTTCGCAGCTCCGCTGCTGCATTACAGGGTGCCAGGGACCTGTTCCCACCTGCACGTGTATCCGCGCCTACACATGGGTACCCTGCTCCCTCCTCCCTGCCCAAGGGGTTTAGCCCCAGGGAGGGGGCTCAGGGACCCCACCTCACCCAGGCTGGTGTCACTCATGGATGGAGAGGGACAGGGGATGGATGGGGGGAGATGCTTTTCCCCTTGACCTCACTGCCAAACCACCCTGGAAATGGCTCCCGCAGGGCAGAGGAGGTCCCACAGGAGGGTTGGAGATGGTGGTGTCCCACCATGGGGTGATGGGTCACTCCCAGTGCTGGTGGCATTGGGTGAGCATCGCCGGGGCACTGCCAGGGAAGGGAAGAGCACGAGCTTCCACTTTGCCGGGAGCAGCTTTGTGCCATAAGCGCAAACTGGTGGCACCACAGATCCCAGGGCAAGGACACACCTGGGATGTGCAGGGACCTCACAGATGCCGGCAAGTGGTTCAGCTCCATCCTGCTGGGCCAGCGCAGGGTGAAAGTGGTGATGGGGGGACAGGGTGGCACCCACCACCCAGGCCCATCATGCTCCAGCACTCCTGACCTTTGTTCCTCTTCCAGCTCTCAGGCTGCAGCTCCCAGCTCGGGGCACAGCGGTCCCACCTCCCTCTGTCCTGCCTCGTCTCTGCTCCTGTCCCAGTTTTGAATCCCTTCCCCTCTGCCTCATGCTGGGAGGACACCAGCATCCTTCGTATCCGTCCCTGCTGCCTGCTACGAAGATGTCCCCGTGCAGCCCTGGTGCCCTTGGCCCCTCTGCTCCTGCTGCCTTGCCCCCCCCCAATCCCCTGCCCTTCTGTCTCCCACATTTCTATAAGTCTTGGAGCCCAATCCTACATGAGACACCTCCCGCCACCCTGGCCTTTGTGTAGCTGGTGCTGCAGCTTAACACAGGATCAGGGCTCTTGCCTTGCCCAGTAGCATGGAAGCCTATGGCTCTCAGCTCGGCGGGGCTGAGCACAGCCCTCCCTTGTGCTGGTGAGTCAGCTCCTCTGCTCTGCTTTCCTCCAGCCTCCACTCCTCCTCCTCCTCCTGCTCTGCTCCCTGGCTCGCGCTCCTCGAGTTGCAGCAGCAGTGAGACTTCTTGCTTTTATAAAATATTAATTGCTGCCCAAACCTGTCTTTTACTGCACAGCTGATTCACCTTGCTCCCTTGGGGATTGCTCTGCCATCAAGCAATGGGCCAGGACAGCCATGGCCATGGGTGCGTAGATAACCCCCATCACCGACTCTGCCAAAGATCCCCCAAAAATGGGGCTGGCAAAGGGGAATCTGTAAAATGGGCTGAAGTGGGGTGGACCGAGACCAGGCAACTGGCCTGGCTCCACCACGCTGGCCATGCAGCCAAGGGGACTTTCCACCCTCAGAGGTGATGGACTGGCAACATGCAGCGCCATGGACTGGGCAGTGACGAATGCATCAGTCCTCAGCTGGCTGAGACATAAGCTCTGGGCGCCAAGATGCCTCATCTGAGCACCCCACGGGGTGGCAGGGCCCAGCGGTTCTGGGGACAAGGGACCCTCCGGTGCTCTGGTGAGCTGCGTGCAGCACCTCTGCCCCTTGGGTGCTGTGCTGCATGCAGGAGGGTGATGCTCTGACCCTGCCCAGCCTGGGCAAGGCAGATGGTAAAGCCCTTTCCTCCGTGCTCATAGCGTAAGGAGAGGTGGCAGGGCTCTGGGGTGGGGGGGCTGCCCCTCACTTCGGTGGTCCCAGCCTGGCTCCCTCTCCTCTCCTGTGGCCTGAGGGCTTAAGCTCATTTGCTGCCTTGGAGGCGTGCGGTGTAAACTCATTTGGGGGGGGCTTGTTTTGATGAGGGGTTTGTATCCCCACGGGGTGAGGGTATCTGCACACTCAGCACTGCTCGGTTTGGCTTGTCTGCTTTGGCAGCAGCCAAACACAGCCCCCTTCTGTCCCCCCACCCCTGCCTCCCAAACAGCCCAGCTCATCCAGTCTCTGCAAAAGCAAAATGAAATAGCAGATGTCCCGCTGATTCTATCTGGAGCTGCTGCCACCCCCAGCTGCTGCTGACAGCATTCCTGGGGGAGCAGGGGCTCAGGCGAGAAACTCTTGCCCCAGGGCACAGCCTTGGATGGTGGAGCAGGGGAAGTGGAGAGGGGGGACCTGTCTGTGCCTGGATTCCCCAGAAGGAGAGAAAAGCAAGTCCTCTCATTTTTGTCCACCAGTCCATTGGATCCGAAGTGGTGGGGAGCGGGTGGGAAGAGGAGGATGGGCAGGAATCTCCCCGATTTCGTTTCTCTTAGCCTCTGGTTCTCAATCCTGCTACTCCTTCAGGGCCTACCCCAGAGCCCTGGTTTATGGCTCAATCAAATGATTTCTCACCTCCTTGGTGGGATGGTGGAAACCAAACTTGAGCCCAGACTGATGGGAATCATTACAAGAGAGGAGCAGCACGGAGAAGGCAGTGGGGTTGTTTCAGGAGCTGATGGCAGAACTCTGCGGGAGGCAGCAGCCTCGGCGTGAGGCAGACGTAGAGGTGCAATCCTGGCAGAGGCTCGCTGCAGCGTGGGGACATTGCCATGGCCCTGCATCCAGCTGGCTGCGCTTGACACTCAGCTGGCCTGGAGCAACCCTGCTTCGCTGCTGGGCTCCTGCAACATGGCACATGGCAGCCGCGAGGGCTCTGCCGGTGACAGTGCTCCGGTTGTGGTCACACACCGGCTCTGCGTGGCCTCAGACAACCACCGGCAACCAGTGATGCCCTGGGCCTGCTTGGACGATGGCATGCTGTGGAAGGCCAGTGGAACTGGGTGCTGCTAGCTGGGCAAGAGGCAGCTGGGTGCAAATGGCCAAGGAACAGAAGGAAAAAAGGAAGAGAAAAGGAAAAGGAAGAGAAAAAGGAAGAGGAAGAGGAGGAAAAGGAAGAGAAAAAGGAAGAGAAGAGGAAAAGGAAGAGAAAAAGAAAAAGGAAGAGAAGAGGAAAAGGAAGAGAAAAAGGAAGAGAAGAGGAAAAGGAAGAGAAAAAGAAAAAGGAAAAGGAAGAGGAAAAGGAAGAGAAAAAGGAAGAGGAAAAGGAAGAGGAAAAGGAAGAGGAAAAGGGAGAGGAGAGGAGAGGAGAGGAGAGGAGAGGAGAGGAGAGGAGAGGAGAAGTCAGGGGTGCGACTGCTCGGATGTGAGAAGGAGAGGAGTGGCCACGAGGCACCCATCATTCCCAGGCGCAGCCTGTGCTCCTGCTCGGATTGCACAATGTACATGCTGCAGAGGCTTGTCCCCCTCACCCTGAACAGCGACACATCACACAGGTAGGGTCACAGAAAACAAAGGAGCGCCTCACTGAATCATAGGAATAAAACAAAGCTGGAGGAGCATCCCCTCAACTGTCTCCGAGGCCTGAGGCAGGATCTGCTGGATCAGCTGGGGTAAGGGCTTCATGATTTGGCCTTAGCAGAACACTCTCAGCTGGACAAGTGGCAAAATACTTTGTGTGTGTGGAGAGCAGAGATCAAGTAACCGCCCGGCCAGGCCTCAGGACCAGGATGAGCAGCCCGGTCGGACAAGCCGAGCCTCCAGCAGCCACCGGGCCCAGTCCTTATGGCAGCGGCAGATGCTGCTGAGGCAGTCACACAGGTCCTCAGCGGCAAGTTAAACAAGAGGGAAGAGCTTGATTTTTTTCTCCCAACATCTTTATTCTAGTGTAATCAAAATCCATTTAAGTTCTGATTAAAAGGTTTAATTAACCAAAAAATTCACCTGTCAGCAGAACAGAAACTCTGAAACACAAGCACCTGCAACCGGTACGCGGAGAGCTTCTCTGGTCCCAACTGTGCACAGACCTGCCGACACAGGCCCTGCTAGTGACGCCATCGCTCTGCCAGGCACTTCTGTCTGCAGGAACGGTACCGTGATGAGCGTGAAGCAAGTCTGTTTACTAAGCCAGGAGTTGTTCCTTGGACGGGTAAGCTGGACTGCTGCATTTTAAATCAGGGCTGGGGTGGGAAGGAAGTCACCTTCAAATGGTGTTAACGGTGACATTTTAAAACAAAGAGTGCATTGCTGCTACGTGAGCACTTTGCTCCTGCTTAACATTTAGTAGGTCAAACTTCCTCATCAAACTTCACAGGCAAAGACACACACACACTTTTAATTAAACTGTAAATGTTTCAGTACTCTTTCATAATACTTTATTTAAAAACAGAAAACATTGTAAGTAGGAGGACTGATTACAACAGTTGTGAAGTTCTCACAAATTTCCCCAATACCAGATGCTTAAATAACACTCCAGGCGGGACATGCACACACAGCCCCTCTGTGCCCCCAGTGAGTGCAGAGCAGGGCCCTGGCTCTGGTGCTTCCCTGGGCAAGCAGCACACCCAGCACTTCCATCTGCTCCTGAGCCTCATCCCCTGTCTGGAAATGAAGGGTTTACATTCTGTTGCCTACAGCATTCATAATTGCATGTACCCTCCTCATATTTAGCTTGCTGAGACAATAAGTGGGGAGTTTGAGGATTCTTGGTTGGAGGTCCAGGCCCAGCTGTGGATAAGGACTGGAGGTGAGGCTGCCAGCTGAGAGCTGAAGGGGACAGACTCTTGCAAGCAGCAAGCTGTTCCACTCCCAATGCAAAATGGTGAGCCAGATGCAAAGGTGATAGGCACACTCTTCTCATCCAGGAAGGCAGATCAGCTGCCCACATAAGGTTTGGACTGCTCTGAACATGTTTTATCCTGCAGAGAGGAATACAACCCAAAAGCTCCTGAACGAGCTGGTAAGCCCTGTGGCCTCACATCATGTGGATGGATCAGCTGAGATCCAGACACATCCCATCTGTATTCACAGCACGCTGCCACCGATTACCCATGCAGAGCCTCAGAGCACCACACAAAGGCGGCTCCCCGATCCAGCCAGACTTGCACGCTGCCAGCTTAGGGGTTTCTGCCCACATCCCCCGGAGTTTCCACTCTATGCTGAATGCAGACAGTGAGCTTGGCTGGAGAGCAAGCACTCTCTCTGCTACCAGGTCGTGAAAAGCTGGCAAAGAGCAGGTCAGGTAACTGACTCAATGAGCAGGCAACCCTCTTTAACTGCAGAGGGCTTAGATACCCCCCAAAAGGCAAAGGGACTGCTGAATAGTCCCTGAATAGGGCTGCTCAGGAACAGAGACAACATGGGACTGCAAATCTTCAAATTCGCTAAGAGATTTGAGTTATGGTGTCTCCTAGCTCAGCATAACACAACAGGACAAGAGGCAATGGGCATGAATTGAAGGACATCAAATTCTGTCTAAAGAGTAGGGAAGACTTCTTTACTGTGAGGGTGACCAAGCACTGGCACAGGTTGTCCAGGGAGGTGGTAGTCTCCATCCTTGGAGATATTCAAAAGCCATCTGGACACGGTCCTGGGCAACCAGCTTTGAGTAGCCCTGCTTGAACAGGGGGGTTGGACCAGACGATCTTAAGAGGCCCCTTCAACCTCCACGAGTTTGTGATTCTGTGATGGTGTAATCAGCAGGCCTAAGCACAAAGAGTAAATCACTAAGGGCTTGAGTTAAGCAAGAAGATAGTGTTGTGGCTGCAGGATCAGGCAGCCCAGGGTAGAAGGAAAGCAACTCATTATCTGCATGATAACAAAGCAGGAGATTTTCCTGCCTTACACTCCTGAGAGTGTAAGTTGACATATGGGTTATACATACGTGCAATGCTCTTTCTGTGGGCCTGAGGGAATATTCACATGTGCCAGCAGAACAAGGCACAGTCCAGCTGCAGGATCAGGGAAATCTCCCAAAACCATAACCAGAGCCTTCAGTGCAGCGTAATTATTGAGATTTCCTTTCAGCATCATCACATGCTATTCTGATTAGGAAAGGAAAGTATTTCTCAAAGGCAGAATTTCTATCTAGGATGGAGTTTTGCATGCAGTGAATCACGTTTTCCTTCACAAAACCCAAGCCTACCTGAAGAGGCATACTGAGTGTTGTGCCAGCACTGGGAACCATAAAGTGGAAGAAATAATAATGAGGAAATGCAGTATTAAAAAAGTCTGCAAGATTACAGTCTTTGAATGATGGCTGGCAAAGACTGCTCATTGCCTGCTATAAGGGGTGTGTGGTAGGAATCAGAAAAGATCTGAAATCTTTAACTACTTCTCATCCAAAGACTGATATGGATAATATAGATCTGAGGATAAATTAGAGCCATAACCTTACCAGCAGTCTTTTCCCTGAGGAAATGCCAGCACTAGGCCAGTCTGTGCTGCTGTGGAAGATGATGCTGATCCCAACTTCTAATTAGAGAGATGACATAAGGTCAAATGTTCCTGAGCAGGATGTCTGCTATGTTGTTGTAATGTCTCTGCGCAGAATCGGAAAAGGGTGGGGGAAGACTATTTCACAGCAGTGACTGGAAAGGAAGAGGAGAGACATGGCAAATATCCAGCAGAAGAAGCTCATAAGCTCAGATACCATCACGGGCAAGAAGAACACCGAGTATGAGAAACAGTAAGACAGCTCAGGCAACAGTTCTGTGTGACACAGGAGAACCGCACCCACAAGGGGCTGTCATTTCCCAGTTGGGCTACTCAAGGTCCTCTGTGTCACAGAAGATTCAGGCTCTTGGGTTTGAGGAGGAGCTGCTTCTCAGTTTGATATTTCTCCATCCCTGGAGTCAGTATCAGCCTTTAGTAAACAGACCCAACACTGGAACGTCTAATATGTTTGGCAGGTTCCCAACAGGAAGGTCACATTTGCTGGTTTTCATGGCTCTGTGCAGTCTCTGGGGCTTTCAGGTCACTTGATCCCAAAGGACAGCCACGATTAGGACCATCATGAGCTGTCTGGTCTCACAGAAAGATTTTAAAAGCCATGATATTAGGAACATTATTTTCACAAGATCAAAAATAAAGTTTCTCACAGCAGTTAGTAAACCAAACTATGCAGGCGTGGGAGGAAGCAGGGGGAATATTATTTAGTAGCTCCAGTGGAAACATGAGAAGGAGGTAAAGTGTAAATCTGCTCCGCTGAGTGCCAGGTAAGGATGGGTCTCCATGACACTGACTTAAGCTGAAGTGAGAAACATTATTCAGACCATTCATCCACGAAATGGATCACAACCTGGAGTTATTCACACATGGAGTGGAGAGAAATACTTGGGCACCGATATTCCAAAAGAAGAAGATACTGTATTTGTACATGAGTTTTAAGCACTGAGCATTAAAGATGACCAAAGATCTCTCCGGTTTCTGCAGCCAGTGGTGTCCCACCCAGAGCCTGCAGTGGCAAACAGTGCAGGGGAGGCTTTTGCCATGCTGGCTTTCTTCAATGATGTGCCCTTCTTCCCTGGATCAAGGTAATAAGACATCCTCTTTGGGTAGCAACTGCCTCCCTTCATGATGTCCTTAAGAAAACTGTAAGACCTTGGCAGCTCCTGTGTTTGCCTGCTAAGGAATGACTGAACTAAGAACCTGCCTACAGAGCTTATTTTCTCCTGATCGAGCTATAACTGAAGAGGTAGTGGCTGCACCATGAGAGGCTTTTAGCAGTTACAGACAACGCGAATATATCTGGCCAGGGATGTCTTAAAGCAGCAGGGCCATAACCCCTTCTCTTCTGTGACAGCTTCAAGTACATGGATGAGACATGGGGCTGGGGTACGAAACTCTTATCCTGCCAGTGGAAGTGCTGACTGAAGGCTACTAAAGCCCAGGGCACCTTGTCATGGCTCCTTGCCCTGCCTCCACCTACTCCCTGTGGAAAACACAGGCAGACCTCCAGAGAAGGGCTGAGCACTGCAGTCACAACACATCCTCCTCTTCCCCCTCCATCCTTGGTTCCTTGGACAGACAAAGGAAAAGGGGGCAGGATCCAGCACACCTCTCACGTGCCAGTTAATGCAATCACTTCAGGCATGCAAAGTGGCAGCGGGGTACAACGATACTACATCATTGTTTCAGCTGGGGCAAGAGGAGCTAGCAGACCTGGAGAAAGTGTACTTTTGGGTAACGATTGTATTTAAATGTCTACACAACAACAAAGTACCTAGTGGGACATCAAGCTCTTGTGTGCAGAGGCACTATCCCCAAGACATGGAACAGAAGACTCACATCAAAATGAGCACACAATCAGACCAGGACACCGAAAAGCTGAGCACTGCTGCACTGTGGAGGTAGTATCCAAAGCAGGAAAACTCTTTTAAGAGAAATGTGTCTGTAGTTTCAGGGAAAGAAGTGGCTTTAAATGTCTCATATCTGAGATAAATGTAAAAGCTCCTTGACTATCAGAAAGTGCAAAAGATGAGGCACCACATGGTGAGGCTCTCACCTGGGCCCTGAGAAACAGGGGGATGAACTGACCCTGTAAGGGAGTACAGCACACGCTTCCCTGAGCTGGCTGAGCTGTGTAACAAGCCGGGCTGCTGCAGTCTTCTGGCAGACCCACCAGCCAGAGCTGGACTCAGCAAAGCTGCGTTTCCCTTACACTGCAACTAAGCGAAAAAGCCCTGAGCCCTGGCAGAGCCCAGAGCTCTCAGCCACCATGGCTTGCTGCCACATAAACCTGAGCAGTCTGGGGTCTGAGGCTGTGTGCTCTGCACTTCAGTTCTGGTGTCAGCTCAGGGCTCAGCTCTCCCCAGAACAATATTTGCTTTTGAAAAAATGTAGATGGGACCATATATGCACAAACGTACAGCAGTCTGTGTTTCTGGGCCTCCAGCCCCACTGTCACTATGCTTAACACCTCCTCTGGTGCTGCAGTGAGGATGAATCCAAGCCCACCCAAAAGGAAAAGAATATGTCCTATGAACCCAGATAGCCCCACTGTACAGTCTTCAGTGTATGACTCTACAAGCTAATCCTCCTCCATCTTGGTTTTGATCAGCTGGCTTGAAGGCTGAAGCATAAAAGGTCCAAAATACCCTTCGGCAGAACGCACCTCAGCATTGTGGCTTTGAACCACCCGAAGGGATGTTTTAATACGGCCCTGTGAGCTTACATGGAAGGATGTATACATCATCAAACCATTCGGGAGGTACTTCCTCGATTACACTAAATGCTGGTTTCATGAGGCACTGATGGGTTTAACCTTTTGCTTCAAAAATAATCATTAGCATATTACACAAACACAGTGTAGGGAAGTTGAAAAATAATGTTTAAAAATACTTGCCTTTAAAAATTCAGCCCCTCCCATGTTACCAAAATCTAATTAAAGGGATCTAGCAGTTGCTGGCTCTGAGATGCCTTTGGTCCAAAAGCATTAGGATTCAATATGTTTTTCTGACCAAGTCTCTCAAGCTCTTTTGCTGTCTTTAGTCCTGCTTCTCTCCTTTGTGTTTCCAAGGGTAGATTAGCTCTCCAAGGAACAGCTTCTTGCAGAGAGATGTCCAGGAATCCTTAGGGTAACAGCTGTAGGTTGGCAGCCTATATGTCTGTATCACACTGCCATATGATAGAGGGTTGATCTATGAGGAGAAGAAAGAGGGACAGGAGCAATGAAAACGTGTTGTAGTAAGAAACACGGGCAGCTCAGGAGGGCAGGTGCAACTTTTGCATAGCACCGGCCTCCGTTAAAACATCAATACTGCTACTCACAAAGCATCAGAATCCCTCTTTGGCTAGCTAAAGCTGTTTAGCCTTCTACAACATCCCAAAACATTAACAAATCAAGCTTGGCAAGGAGTATTATTAGAATCATTTTCAAGCAGAGAAGCAGACGCAAGCACCAGCAGGATTTGAGAGTGATGCTCATTACACAAGGGTGTGGAACTGTTGCCTTGGTTGTATTAGGAAGTTGCAGTGGCTGGAGAGATGGGGGCCTCCCACCACAGACAGCAATACTCTGTTGGGGGTGCATTGTGACTCTTAGGAACTCCTCTATAACGTGCCAGTTAAGCCATATCTTATATGAGCCTACTTCTTTAATGTGCTAAGCCCTCAGCCCAGAGCTATGCTTTAGGCTAAGCCTGATATGACCTGATACCCACTCAGTGGAATGGAGTCCTAGCAAAACAGGATGCATACCACACAATGCCATGCAGGGCTGCTCATTACCATTTTAAATTAAGTCTCCTTGTCTGAGTTCATCTTTTAAAATTTTATTTCAATCACCATCCCAAGAATGACCACGTCTGGAGTCTCTGCCTACAAAAGCTCATGGCCTCTGATTATGGTCACAAAGTTGCTGTATCAACCTTTTGGAAGATGGGGGAGGCAGACAGACATGTTAGCTGGACAAGGGGCAACAGAAGCACATTAGACCTTGGAAAATCTCATTCTAGTGAAGCATTTCAGGGTAGAGAGATAGGTGAAGCTCAGAGGATTGATCTAATCTGGTCAAGATCTGATGCATGAAAAGGATGCACACCAATAGATTGTCTCCAAAAGACTAAACAGATTACACAGAAATGGTGGATCTCAGAAAACAGACCATGAGAGATGCCAAGGGGTGACTTACAGAGCTAGAGGAAGCTTGGACAGTGGGGGGAAATGGAAGGACATCCTCCTCTAATGAAAGGGTCCAGCTATGCTGGAACCAATGAAGCAGCTGCATGAAAGGAGACTGTAATTCACCGTAGAAAATCTAGCCACAAGAAGGAAAGAGAGACAGCAAAAACCACGCAGACAGTCAGTACTTTGTCAAAAGCTGAATATTTCTTTTGTCCACTGAAGAGCAACCAGTTTTCTGGGAGTTTGCCTGTACCACCAGTTTGCTTCAGCTGTCTGGTGCTCATGGAGAGCGGGAGGATGAACTCAGAGTGCCTACAAAGATGGAGCTCTGGGAAAGGGTGATTAAGCAAAGGTTCATTAGAATTAGTCCTGGAGACTTTTGTCAAATTAGTTTCAAAGTACAACATTGCTGAAGGAGAAGGAGAAAATGCCTGTACACAGAAGCATCCCTATGAAGTTTAGGAAAAAGGCCCGGGCAGCAGCTCGCAGGGGCTGAAGGAAGCCAAGGAACAGCCAGACCCAGCATGGTCCGGCTGTGGGACACTGACTCATTAGCAGATATTAAATGGGTCCCAGACAGATTCACAGGAAACTAGTTCTGAATGCAATCAAAATGAACATTTGTACCAGAAACAGAAGAGCAGAGCTCATACCACCTGAGGTATGTCTAACCCAAACTCATGCAGCTCATATTTCAAACACATTTTACAGCCTAAAGGCCAAGGATCGACCACAGCATTTATGGGACATTCTGCATGACTATAACCAACCTCATTGCATTGTGGTCATAGACAGTTAGCTGAAAAAAAGAAAACAGAAAGAAAAAAACCCAAAGACCAAAGAAATCTGCCCCCAAAACAAACAACAGTAAAACTTGAGTAACTATTTCTGCCTATGTCCTCAGCTGTGGGCAAACCAGTATGTTTTAAGTGAAAACATGCTGGGGGAGGATAGGAACTGCTGCTATACAAGGGAGATACATAGCGTGTGTTCCTTTGACTATTAGCTACGTGGGCTGGAAGGTTTGGACACAACATTTCTCATTGAAAATCATCCATAGGCAGAGTGGTGATACCGAGCAGTAACACTTGCCTACTGAGAAAATACAAGAGATGATTTTATGCCCAGCACAATATATGCGCCTGCCTCTCCTATTATAAATGGAAACAAACAAGCAAAACAAAAGCAACCGTTTATTAGGGAAGTGGCAATATGAGTTCCTTTTATGCAATTTCTTTAGTCCAAAGCTATAATACACCCTGATATAATATACATCCTTTGTTTCATAATGGAGCTGTTCCCTTTTCCCTTCCTCTTTTGCTTAACCCTTTTCAAAGCAATTGCTGTGAAAGACAACACTTCTAGCAGAAGGTATACAGAGGAATCAAACTCATCATTTCTTCTCACTGGGCTATCAGTTCAGTTGAGCCACACTGCCAGAAATACTTCTTCTTGTGCACCAAAATAAATTATTTCTAAACACTAATGAAAATACTGAACTGTGTAAGACTTCCTGGAGAAAATTAAGTAGCATTTGGAATGGAAATATCATCCCCCACCCTCTGCCTGCCTGTGTCTGGACTTTGCATTCCAGTGACACGATCTTAAAAATAAAAAAATAATCACTCGGCTAAACCACAAGCTCAAAGTGAATGCTCAAAGCCAGCATTATTGATTTCTAATCCATTACCAGCACCCCAAAGGACAGCTGTGAATGTATCAGTCACCTAGAACTTAAATTATTTTGGGCATAGTTACAAGCATACAGCCTTACTTCCACCAAGCATAGCTCCAGAGGGGTACCATACGGGGAGTGGACAAAGCCACCGTGAAATTTCTAGAAAGAAAATTTCTACATCATTATGTACCATAAATAAGAATTTTAGCATGTCACTTAAAAATAGGCTTTTTAGATTGTCTTCTCAAAAGACCTATCAGAAAGTGGTATATTCAGCAGGATTTCTGACATAAACCCAGTTTTCATTTCCACCAGCACAAAAAGAGCAAAAAAGTGCCTTTGCTGACTCGCTGTTCATTATTATTTGAGCAGAAGGCCAAGAGAGACATCCACTAAAGCACTTCCACCTCTTGATATGATGACTTATGCTATATTCTAGATAGCAAAAGGACATTTCTGCAGTGGTCCAAGGAAAATTCATCATATTCGTATGACTCACTGCCTCTGCTCTCTAAGTCGTGATCTTTTGCCTCTGGAGAAGCTATCTACCTCATCTCACAAACACCGATGCCAAATTCTCTGCTCAGCAGCTCCTGTGCCTCATCTTTGGTGTCTGGTTTCCTTTTTATGGAGTCTTCTGGTGACAACGAATGACAGATTTTGGTTCTTGCATCACTACCCTACAGAAAGATAGGAACTGGGATGACAGCATGCTTATGAAATGCTAGTTTTGCCCTAGAAGACATCTGTTGAAGGGATTCCCTTTTGAACTGCTGCTAGCTGGTGTGCTGGTTCCGTGCTAATCTGACCTCTGCTGAAATAGGGCTGGGGCTAGACCAGTGATGGAAAAAGCAAGAGAACTGGGAAGCTGCAGCTAATTCCTTCCCACACATTCCCCCAGCATCCAAGTGTTTTTTAAATTCTATATGCTACTTGCAGACTCTCCTCCTAGGATGCAAAGAGCAAGAAAAGCAACCCTGTGATATAGCAGTACTCCTGCAAAGTGAGGAAATGGAAATCTCACAATCACTCCTGAAAGCGTAATGAGAACTTCACTGCTACCATCACATAATTTCTTCTCAGAAAAAAAATTCCTTTAGTATCTCTGAAGACAGAGCATGGAAATGTGAGTTTACAAAAACACAGGTAATCTTCTTCTGTGTACTTTGCCAGAGCAACTCAGGAGAATAAGAAGGCCCTTCCCTCTCTTGTCTCGCCCACGCACTCATCCTGCTGGCATCATGGAGCAGCTAAGGCTTTTCAGCACATCTGGAGGGGAAGATCTTTTACAAGCCCTTAACTGTCGTTCATTCTGGATGGTTTAGCTGCCTTCTTTTGCTTCTCTCAGTGTTCAACAGTTATTAAGGTGAAGCTGCATAGAGCCAGGAAGCGAGGTGATAATGACGTGAAGTCTTAATTCCAGAAGTAACAGAGCTCCATGTTTCTCCTATCTTTCCCATTTCATTTGACACCATACAGGACACTGCATTTTCTCTAAAGGGAGGACTCAAGCAGGTATTAAAAAGAAGAGAAAGCAGCAGCTAGTCATTGTGATGTGAAACACGTTTCCCTCATTTCAGCACTTCACAGCTGAAATTTTTTAAGTGGGACCGTTCAGTGGGACCAGTTTCAGAACTGCTACAAAAGAGAGAAGGACCTTGGGGTCAATCTGAGGTGAAGCCTGCAGCAGAAAATGTCATGGAGGGCACAAATGGCTTACCTGCATAAGGAGTCGAAGAGGTTTCCCATCCTGCTGCTCAAGGACTCTGAACTTCACACCAGCTGAAAAGAAACAAAACAAGGAAACCAAGTCCATGCTTGAAGAAAAGACCATGCCATTTTCTGCTCAGCTCTGTTGGCTAAGCACCAATTTCCTAGAAATGGAGCCTTCGACCTTTCTTGATTTGTGAACCCTTACACATTTGCAACAGGAAGCACAGATTCTCTCTATAGTGGTTTTAATCATAATGACAAACGATGTGTTTCTCTTAGCTCCATTAAAAGCAGCCCTCTGACTTCCAGCTTGAAAACACAGTCCTAAAGCAAGCACAAAGCCTAGAAATCATACAGCCAGACCTGATGATGACAAAGGGACGGAAAAATCTTTCTCTTTTCCCAAACTTCCATCAGAATGGCAACTCCATGTTAATAGCAGGCAGAGAACTCGCCTTTAATTTGTACTCATGTGGATACAGCACATGTGCAAATCTTTCCCTCTTTCAGACTAAGGGAGGAAAGTGGCTGGCCTAGAGGCATTAAAAATGTTTCAGAGCAATCATTGCCTATTAATCCCAGCATTCATATATTCTTAACACGCCACTAACCCCATCAAAACTGCCACTTTTATATTTCCTCTTGGATTTGCTACATTCACAATACTGAAAGATAAATAGGAAAGATTTTTGGATTCCAACAGTGACATAGTGCACATGAACGTTTAATGCGATGTTTCAAACAAAGGTAACAACTACGACTAGAGACACATTTTTCTTTGAAAGGTCTCGAATCACTTCACAGAAATAAAACCAATCCATCTTCTGCAAACCTGTACCAGCCAAGTGTGCCCCTATTATTCCTTTCTACAGGTAAAAAGATGAGGCAAGAGTAATGAAACGATCTGCCACAGATCAAACAGTGACTCAGGAGTACAAATAGAAATAAAACTCTTCATCTGTGTAAGCCTCATTGCTATAGTATCTATGTGACTCTTGCACATTTAAAAACCAAAACATCTTCTCTTTTTCCTCAAGCTTTGAATTAAAATTATACAGTTTATTCCTGGGAGAGAAATGCTCTTGTATAGCAGAGAGCTCTGGTTTAAACTCTCTCCCCAAACCGTAAAGCCTTTTCTGTACAGGACAGGAAGGATTTATTTGCATTTTACTGGACTGCATTGAAACATGGGCTTCCCTGATGGCTTCAAAAAGATGTTCGAGTACCCTGGGTCTCAATAAGCAAATGTGCTGGGTGACAAAAAGTGTTCAGTGTGATTCATTGAGTTTTGGCTAAGAGGAAGTGTCTAAGCCATTCCAGGAACAACTTTTCAGGCAGGCAATTTGTCAGATAGAGACAGAAACAAGTGTGCACTGAAGTTTCAGGTACGTGGTCGAGCACTCTGGAGTCTTATCCTAGGAACAGTCCATTCGACCAGAAAATGCTGCTTCTGCAGGTCATGGCCACACACTTCCCTTCTACAGCTGCAAGCCAACAATCTCTTAGATTATTTAATTGTTCAAGAGTCTTAAACTTTTAGGAAAATACATGCACAAAAAGGCTACAAATTTATTTTAGATTAACCTATAGATTACAACAACGCTCAGGAGTCTGAGCAATTCACAGAAAAAGCAGGAAGGCTTGGTCTACTGCAGATCACTCTAACAGAGAAGAACCCTAAACTATTCTGTGATTGCCAGCCAACTCCAGAGCACAGGGTTCTGCTTTTTCTGTACACAGGCACCATCGATGGTACAAGAAAGGTCAGGACATAAACCCATTTGCTTTGTTTCACATGACAGCGCACTAAAGCAAGCTCACTGCTTGTTTGTATTCCAGTAATCATAGAGACACCACCATGACAGGTCCTACAGAACCATGACAAAACTTGCCCCAAAGTTTGTGATGTGAATATTGGGCAAGGGGGAAAGAGAAATACAGAGAAAATGAACTGACATGTTCACAATCAAACAGCAGATTGGTAACTCATGTGCGGGCAGAGTTTGAGACCCCCGAACCTCACTGCTACACCTTACTTCACACTACAAACTGACATCACAGTGTACTCATCCCAACCAAGGTGGCATCCCTTGAGCTGACACTGGGCGGACAGAACTCTTGCACAGAGGACATCAGCTTTGATATATGTGCAAAAAGCTTTGTAAAGTCCGAAGTATTTCACTTTGGATGCATGGAAAGAAGATATGGATTTTGTTTCTCGTGTGCACATGGATCATTCACTTATCCTGGCCTAGGCTTCATCAGTGTAATATTTTGTCAATTCAGAAACTGAGTCAAATAACTTGGAGGCCAGATGCCACGACTGAACTGAGTTGAACTTAAACACTGCACTAACCCCTTGCTGACAGGAAAAGCTATCCATTCATGTTGGTAGAACCATCCTGATGGTGCCTGTAAAATCAGCTGCCATAACATATGCCAGAGGATGTCTTATCCAAGTTCTGAGTCTGAAAAGGGAGGCAAAACCTAAGCAGTGAGGACATCAAGTGATGTGTACTCTCTAAAGTCCTTTGAATTTGATTCAATTGCTCCATCTGTTACCACTGCAATGACATGTTTTTGCGCTGGGGCAGGAACACAGGCTGCAGAAATTCTCAGAGATGCCTCTTCATCTAGCAGGCAGCATGGCATTGCAGTGTTCTCTTTCTTCAAATGTTTAAGAGGAGCAAACAAACAGCCAACAAGGAAAGTAAGTCAGGTAACAAGCTCAACAGAGAAGACAATCCTCTGCCTGGGTGGAGGCTTATTATCCTGCAGTAGGTAGGTGGCTGAACAAAACTGAGGAGAAGTAATCTAAGACTGATGGGAATATATGGCTTACATCTCTCAGTGGCAACAAGATTTCCTTCTGCCCTACAACCTGCTGTTTACTGGGTCAGTTTTCTTCAGCAGCATCTCCTGTTCTCCAAAGACAGCCCTGAAGGGTTAAGAAGTTTCTGCCAGGAAACTCATAAGAATCTGCTGAAGGCACACATGGAAAAGCAACAGAGTTGGTAACATGGCTCAGCTATACCTTCCCAAAATCAAGCCTGGCACTGCTCCAACAGACAAAGCTGTTATCAGTTGCCTCAAGCTTCCTTTGCATTTGATGACTAGCCTTGGTTTAGTGATGATCAAGCTTTCTTACATTTTAAATTCCTGCTGTATGCTCTTTAAATCGATGGGAGATAATAATTTAGACGTGCTTGATTTTAACTAGATTAACCATAGCTGTTTGACAGTTAAACCCATTCCAAAATGATCCTTTACTCTGGTGCAAACCATGGTTGATGCTTACCAAAAGCAGAAAAACAACGACTAGTTTCAAAATGGTGACAGATTAGTCTCAAAAAGAGAACAATTATCTGAAATCTGCCCAGAGCCCTGTAATTAATCCAAACACCTCAGCTCAGGACTTCAGTTAGTCAAGTCAGCACAGAACCGAAGCAGTTCCACTGATTCACAGCCACTGTAGATCCAGCCCTTCGAAACAGCAGATTTTCCAAGGATTTTTGTAATTTGGCTTGTTTCAGAGCCCAAACCCCCAAAGTTAACAGCTTGTTTAACTCTCACAAGTTTTACCTGACCTGGTACTGGAATCAAAAGATGAACTCATTTATAGGGTCCTTGTTTGGACGTCACTTTTAGTTGCACAGGCTTTGTAAAGGTGTTCCCGATTCTGCTTCAGCATCAAATTTCTTTCCATTGACAACCTCATCCTGCTCCTTGCAGGAATTGGTTAACAGTATGGACAACTGCGCAACTTGAGCCTTGGGTTCTTTCCTGCCCCCCCCCCCGCATCTTTCTATTCAGAAGCTACCCATTGCATCAAAATTAAATGCATAATGCTAAATCCTTGAACTTCTGCATGTGCAGTGCTGAAGGACCTACCTGCGAGTCTGTAAGATCTGCAGAGCCGAAGGATGATTGAATAAAGAGGCAGAGAGTCAATCAGGTCAACCAGCAAGTGTATCAGGCCTTGCACAATCACCACCAGCAAACGGAGCTACAAAGAAACAGTTTAATAAGAAAATCTTAGAGAAACAGGAGATGCAACACTTGCAAACTCATGAGCTGGTCTGCAATCTGACATGGTTGTGTGCTAAGCTAAAGCCTCCCCAAGTGGGTTTGATGTCTAGAAGTGCTGGGCCTGGATGACCCCGCATGAGGTTCCTTGACAATCTTAGCTTAAGAGTGTAACTGAAATGAAGCTCCTACTGTTGTAGAGGCTGTGACCTTCAAGGACATGAGAGCTATTCCGCTTTCAGTGGCCATAGTCTAAAAGAGAGAATTTAGGCTTCCATTTCTAGTAAACTCCAGCACTGTGAATCAGTGACTGCAAATTTTTCTCTCTCCAACAGTGAGCTGAAGTAGCTTATTTCTGCCTGAAGAAACCCCATGTAGAGCATCTAAGCAAGAGCAAAGCAGTCAGAAATAAGCTTCCTACTCAGTGTGTTCTTGTCCCCTGATTAAAGCACCTCCTTTTGTCAGACTGCCTTTATTTTTGTTGCCAAGCTAATCTGAAAAGAGAGGGCTCAAAAAAGATGTTGAAACCATGTGATGGCCACTATCTGTGGAAAATTTTGCTCCAGGCGTGTCTCAGAGAGGACTGGTCATGGTGGGGGGAAGAAAAGAAAAATAAAGCAGTCCAACCCTCTGAGCAAAGCCTGGCTGAAAGCATTTAGCACAACAAGTTAATTTCTTGAAAAAAAAAAAAAAGTTCTGGATTAAACTAGAGAGGCCATCACCCCAGACGTGGGATGGAAAGATAAAAAAAAAAAAAAAAAAAGACTTCTGAGTGAAAGAGAGGGGAACAGCTTGTTCTGCTGACCACGATTTGCTGGGAATTCCCTTTGGAGAAAGAAAAACACATATCCTGAATTCCACTTGCTTGGCCTACACGGGCTGTGTGAGAACCCTTCCTGGGACACCCAGACAAATATATATTTTCTTTGTGGATGACAGTGAATGACTAGGAAACTTTTTTTTAATATCTCAGAAGACAGTGTATGACTAGCTTCAAGGGTTAAATCTTACCAGGGTAAACACCAAATAATACAGTGCAGTTGTAGGCAGGAGGAACAGCAGGATTGTAAATAGCAAAGTGCCAATAAATAACTAGGGGAAAAGAGAAACACAAACAATCATTAGCAGAGCAATGGCAAAATAAAATAAAATAATAGGAAACTGTGAGATAATGACAGTTTGCAAGACTCCTTAATGTGCTTTTTTATTCCCTATGTGAATAATGCTGTTACCTTTAATATTTTCAGTACTACTTCTCTCACTGGCCCTTTTTAGAAGGCTCCCTATTATAGGAGTATGTTTGGAAAGACAAACAAGCTGGATTCTGACAGCATTTTTTCCTTTATAGACAATACTCAAGATTTCCTATTTCAGGTCAGCTTCCTTAGGAAACAAGACTTACACGTTCATGCCATTTGTCCACTCCCTGTCCCTGTAAGTTTTAGAGCCATTGGTCAGTTTTTACCAGAAAAATGTGGAAGGGTAAAAAGAAGTAGGAATTTGGTAGGGAATTTTGTAGAGAATTGAGAAGTATTTTTGTTCCTCCTTGTTTTAGGAGAACAGGCACCCGGTGAAAAGCTGGCAAAATCTGGTTGATAAACATTCCCAGCAGCAGCAACTGGCTGGTCAGTCCAGCCACAGGACTTCTGCCTCTTGCTCGGTGGGAAACTGGGACACAGAAAGAAGCTGGAGTTACTGGGGTGGGGGGAGCAATATTCAGAGGATGAAGGAGAAAAATCCATAGGAAAGCAGGTGTCATTAGCTCCACTGCCCACAGAAAAAGTTATTTTTATTCTGGGCCAGCCTAGTTGGCTGAAGTCTAACTAATTCCAACTGGGAGAAATGCAGATTTTTGACAAATAGGGATCTGACTCCTCAATTTTCTGTTGCCACTTCCAGAACAGAGAGGTGACAGGAACACAGAGCACTGCCATTTCTGCAAAAAGAGATCATGGCTGTGGTATATTATAAAAGAAAATAACACAGCCAGCCGTGTGACAGAGATGGATCAACATCCCAGCTTTATGCACGTAACCAGAAATAGATCATAACCCAATCCACTCTCTTCACAGCAGTTGTCTCTCCCCTCCTCAATCACTCCACTGCAGTTGCTTTACATCTCCAAAAGTCCTTTAAGGCCTGCTTTGAACGTCTCTTCCCACCCAGGCCAACAACATAATTCCCGCTGGCCTCCAGAGCAGCAGGATGAAGCCTGAAGTGCCAAACCAATTCTCCTCAAAGTACACAGGGACCGAGGAGCCCTGATGCAGTCTCCTGGCATGGAAGCTTTTAAACACTACAGAAACAGAAAAATAGCACCTCCACTTACACGTCCACTGGTGTAAGAAGCTCAAGGTTATCTGTTGCAATGGAGAGAGAGGCCCAGGCCCTGGAAGTTACCAAATATTATTGTATTACTTTAGTGATGTTTGCCACTGCCATCATGGAGCAGTTCAGGCTCTGCTGAACTTTTGCATGGCATTTTAGAAATTAAAAAGAGCTTACAGTATTTGACAAAAAAACGCCTCTGCTGCTTGAGTGAGAACGTGTGGGCCAGGCTCCAGTGCAACGTGAATGAAACGGGGCCTTTTAATAGAAACGCTGGCATGTCTGTTACTGTGGCAACACTGCTGGGCACCACTTCTTAAATTGCCTCCCTCCTCCATACCCACTCCCATGCTCCAGGAGCTGGAAGCATCTGCAGCACCCACTGCAGTTCACCAGGGTGCCTTGCAGGTGCTCAGCACTTGCCAGAATTAGGCCCCCTGAACATGCAGAGAAGCAAAGGTGTGCTGCAGAGCAGCAGAGTCCAAGCATTTGGTTGAAGAGCCACAGATGCAGAGTGCTGAGGCATGCACTTGTTCTGAGCACCACAAAGCCTCCCGTGGCTTCTGTCTCAATATTAGCTGAAGCAGGATAGGATTGTATTGCCCATGGGCAGCGCCCTGCAGTGAGCCCCTGGTGCTGCAGCACTACCTGGTCCAAGTCATAGGAGCAGGAATCCACCCGCTGCCGGAGGACGTTCCATTTCTTCCCACGGAACAAGCGCCAGAGAGATGACAGGCCGTAAATCTTCAGGCAGTAGAGCCTGAGCAAAGAGAAGACGCTGTGCATCAGAGCTGCGAGTTCCCGAGCTTCAACACAAAACAGCTGCCATCATTACACCCCTGCACCCACTCACTTACTGACACCGCAGAACTCAGGGTGGCAAAAGAAATCAACCCGAGAATGACGCAGATAAAATATTCAGTCAACCGTATTTGTGCTGGCCCCTGGCATGGGCAGAGCAGGCTGCTGCACACAGGTCTGGAGTACTGGAGGGCAATGGCCATGGCATGCCCCAGGACAGTGGCAAGGCTCTCAACAGGGTGACCCCTATGTGAAGCAGTAATTGCCAGCCCCATGCCACCACTTTCCCTGTAGCAAAAGAAGCAGCAAGCTTATTCCCCAAAGTTCACCTCTGTCTCTCCAGTTTAGATCTGCCCTGATCCCCTTGCTTCACACCCCTTCCATGGCAGGAGTGGCCAAGGTCTCGCCCCTCACTCTTGAGTCAATGTAATTCAATTTTGCCTCCACAGCACAGAGAGACAAGGGAGAGGACTGGAGCCCCTGCACCTTCTTTAGTAAAGCACAGCTTCAAACATCCTTAAGAGTGGAAACAGATCAACTAAATGGCTGGTGGCCCCTACCACTTCCTTTCTTTCAGCTTTTGTAACTTGATGCTACGACACTTGGAGCTACTTCCCTTCCAAAAAAAAGGGTGAGTCCTTGGTGAGAGAAGCTTGTGGTGATAAGGGGTGGGAAATAGACATCCCTACAGAATAACATCAAGGAAGACAAGAGCGCCTGGGATGGAGAAGAGGCACAAAGAGCCCTGGGCAGCTATGTCCAACATACATGGATGTAAAGAAAGGGGACACGGCCAGTCTGTGGGGCAGAAGAGAGCCTGAGAAAGCCTGAGCTACAAAAGCCAGACTGGTTAACCAGCCTAGTTAAGGCACGGAAGCTACTCAGATTTCAAGGCAGCGTTGTGAAAGCAGAGGCAAGGCGTCTTATCCAAGAGAGGAATCTGGTTTGAGGAACACCAACTGCTTCAAGGAATTGGCAGGGTGCCTCCAGACTGGCAGGCACAGCTCAGTGCACTAATCCCTAGGCAGGAGGGTGCCCGGGACAACTCCTCCAGGTTTCTGGTACACACCTGCTCTGTGGCTCTGACTAAGGCCACACACTCCCCCACACACCCTGACATGACACCAAGCGGGTGTTCCTGCTGTAGCACCTGCCCCACCTTTGCTGGCTGCCTGCACACACATGCCTGCTCTTGTTTCACTGTGTGGTTTGTTTCAGAAGGGGTTCTCGGGCTTCACCAACACCTGAACCAGCAAATTCTTCTGCCAGCTGCAGGAACGCAAGGTGTTGTGGTGGCTGTGTTGATGTGGGTGACTGCTATCCCTTCCTGACTCTCCACTGGGGGCACCTGGCACAGCAGGGCAGTTTGGTGCCAGTGGCAAGATAACATATAGCTGCTCTATACTTCCAACAAACAGCAGAGGCGGGTAGACTGGCTCCCTGCAGCTCACAAGGGAAAAGCAATCAGCTGAGAAAATGCTTGTCCTGTTTCCACTCACTGCACAATGAGGAGGACCGAGGCCACTCCTCACAGACCAAAACAGAAATTCCAGTAATGAGAGGTGTTGGGAAGAGACTCTTCATTACTGACATTACTGATTTCGGGTGTAAGCCCTATGCTCACAACAGACCCAACTGATAAATCATATCTCAATATTTCTAACTATTCCCTAAACTACCCATAACTAAAGTTCTACTATTTCTTCTGTTGTTTGTAATGTAAAGCCCTCTGCTCATAGCCTGGGGAGGAACGATGACTATTCTGTACTTTATAAGCCCAAAGTTTCTTTATTTATTACCTTGTCTCTCATCCCCTTGGCAAGAGCAGCTATTCTCCAGTGGCCTGTGTGAATCCTTGCTGCAGAACATGTTAATGGAGCACAGGAACAGAGCACATCGGTGGGCACTGTTTGCACAATAATCCCGACATGCCCTGGACATGCCCCAAAGCCCTGTGCGCTCCCACACACTGCCTCAGAGCCTCTGCCCGGTTCTCAGGCTATGGGGCCCTCCAGTAGGTCCAGACAATGACACCAGGATGGTGTCACACCCATGCTGTAACCCCAAACCTGTCGTCTGTGCTCCACGATGCAGACAAGAACCTCTGAAGCAGGGCAGAGGCAGGGACTCAGGGGCTACCAGAAGTACAAGGGTTCCCCTTTCCTCCTCCTCTCCTCCAGTTCCCCTCAAAACTACTGGGTCAGGTGCAAGTGAAAAGAGTACTGTAAGGCTGAATCAAAGGGGTGGAGTAAGCTGCTTTCTTGTCCTCTGCCTGTCACGTAGTTTTATTTTTCCAGGTCAGTACCACAATAAATAAATATTTAAACGCAAGAAAACTGAAAGATAGGTTGCTTGTACTACTGTGGCCATCATTTCTACATGCATCAAAGAATGCAATAAATTAATTGCTGGCTAAACTGTGAATTGAAGAGAACTACACTAGGAATGAATGCTCCATGAATTAAAGACATGCCTGGAGTGTTCCGTGGCCCTTCTTTCCAAATATACCTATGACACAGCCAAGAGAGATCAACTCACCTGGCTCCGTAGACATAGAAGCAGTAAATGTGGAAGGTCAGAAGCGCAATGATGTCGGAGAGGATGCAGAGAGCCACAGTCAGGCCCAGACAAGCCGACAGACCGACATACCAGAGGATCATCTCAATGAATGGGGACATCAGGTGAATGTAGCCTAATGGACATTGCAGAATGTCAGTATTTGACTGAGACATCTTCCTCTTGACACTCTCAATCAGTCCTTTTGACTGATTCCCCCTGCCCTAGAACATTGCTCCAGAAATCATAGCCATGAAAACATGCCAGTAAAACTGGAAAGTTCCTTTAGATGCCATCTTCTGTTTAGGAGGGCCAACAAAAACTCTTTCCCCACAGGTTTCTGTCCAGGTGTGGCAGCTCTGTGAGGAAGGGGAAGATGTGCTCAGCTTGAACAGAGCAGTCACCTTGCTCCACATGTGATATGCTTTTCTAGATTTGTGTCCAGGTTCCTAATAACATTTTTAACTGCACACATCAACCTTTACTGCAGCCATTCCCCTTTTCTTGCTATTCCCACAAAAGCCACCCCATAGGGCTTTTGTAAAATAAAACAGTGTGGAGACATACAGTCTCTTTCATCATTAAAGTGGAGCAAAGTAACAGAAACAAGACCATACTTGATTGGTGAGCAAAGTAAATCAGTATAATAACTAAGGAGTTCACATCCATCACAACTGTAGTCCTTCATCAAGACACTTATCAAGGAGAGCAGGGGTGTGTTATTTCAAGGAGGGACTTGAAATAATAAAATTGCACTAAGGTGAAATCAGTGATAGGACAGGGTTGGCATTTGCATCCTGAGAGCACACTTCTCATCCCTATCCTATCAGCTGCCTCTTATATGGCAAAGACTACAAAAGCCTACATAAGGCGTAAAGCCTTCCCTTGGACACTCACCACTAATGGCACCAAATAAGTAAGCTCCATCGTGATTTGCACTTCTTGCAAAGCATCAGTGCAAGCGCTTTATTTAATATGCATGACTTCCTTGTGTGGGAATCCAACTTTGGCTTGAGTTCCCACAGCAGGAAGACTCACAGACAAGTTCATACTTGCAGTAGTGCATTTTGATTCATTATTCACCTCTAGGCAAACATTAAACACTCAGGAGGGAAGAGATGAAAAGGGAGGCTGAAAAGTAAAACAATTGCACTTACTAATCCAAAGATGGATGTGGTAAAGGAAGAAGCGGCCCAAAACTTGGTCCAAAGCTCGGTTCATTTTCAGTCCAGCTGGCGCTCCCATTAGCCACTGAAGCAGGTCCTGGAGCTCTTCAGCTACGTGCTACAAACACATGGAAGCAAGGCACCTGAGATAAAAGACTTCTACCACACTGAACAGGTCCAGTGCACCTGTACATGCTGCCCCCCAAAAAGTATTCTTACCACACCCTTCAAACCAATGGAAAAAAAAAAAACCAAATGACTACTTTACAACTAGTTAAATCAGAAATGCACCTTTATTGACTCTTCACTGAATCCAAACATAAGAGCAGAGAGGAAGCTGAACTGCTTAAACGTTCTCAGTGCTGGGAACACAAACCTAGTGTTTGTTTATGACCACCTCTTGTAGACTTGCACAATATTTCTTGGTGTAATGAGAGTTCTTGAAATAGGTGGCAAATGCTGGTGCACAAATCGACTTCTTTGGACAGTCAACTGAAATGTCAGAACTGAGCCAGTAATTTAACCATGGGGAAGGCTGTCAGGATTTTAAAAGGGGGAAGATGGCAGTGCACTCGCAGGCAAAAAAAGTGAATTTTTACAAACAAATAATCTGTACGTGTTTAAAGCAGGGTAGAAAACACAATTATATAAATGTGTTTCATACATAAACAAACTTTCTTGATACTCTCTGGTGTACTAGGCAAGATTAACCATGCTGTATAGCACTGATCTTGCCTACCACTACTGTGTCTCTCTGCAGGCTTCATGATGAGACACCCATGGCAAACCAGTAAAAAAGCCTAATGGAGGCCGTCCCCAAATCACCGAGGGCTTTGACTCACAACTTCTGGTGATTTAATCCCAGGCTGATGTTGTTTACTGATTTTCTCTCTCCCCCCCACTACTCTGCTGGAGGTCCCCCTTGCAGTTGACAGGGCAGAAGATGGGGTGGCTCTGCTCCCTGGTAGTTTGCACCTGACCTACTCACCTAAGCTGAAACCAGCGGTGAAGTCCATTTACCAGGCTGTGAATTGAGGTAGCTGAGAGTAGTAACTTCCAGCAAACAGTTCAGGAACATACCCGGAAGAAATGACCTCTCACACTGTCCCGCATGAACAGAGGTTGTGAGTAAAAGCCTTCTACCTCTGAAAATTCTACTTACAGTCAAGTTCATGCAAGTGAATTGCACTGCAAATTGTGCACGTGTAGAAGAATCAAGACAAGCTAACTAAAGCTGATGCACTGTAGCCTACTTTTCCCGTCATTCATATGGATAATTTCCCTAAGGGGAAATTATTTCCAAGGAATGATTCCATTTTATTTATTAACCAACAGGATCCTTGCAAAATGAGTTTGTAAACATTTACTTTTAGTGTAGTGGCAAAATTAAGGGCTCCATCTGCAACTTGCCCAAAAGGATTGCCTTTTTATTTCATTCATTTTCCCTCTGTCTCACTGCAAGTCAGAACTGATTTGAACCCATGGATCTTACCTCTGTGGCTGAGAAGTGTTAGCTGCTTTATAAATAGACTGTTTTTAATAATTAAAGTGTTGGACTGGTAACTTGGAAAAAGCATTTGGTGGTTTTAATGAAATATTTAAATGTTTGAAAGCAGTCCTTCAGCAAGGCTGTTTTTCAGCACTGAATACTTCTGGAGGCTGCCAGTCTCAGAGGTGCTACTAAGTTCTGACAGAGGCACATAGCTCTGGGAAGGTGCCCTAGCTTGCTGTTATTTAGCTGGGCAAGGCATTTCAAAACATAATCCTAAGGCATAACCTTGCAGGTTGTTTTCCAGCCAGATATTTTAGGACTGATCAATAGCAAGTACAATCAGAAAAGGTGACTGGGAGTCCAATTCTCCTGTTGTAGTCACAAATACTGAATGTGGCCAGTATTAATAAATAAGATACACTGAATTGGAAGTATTTTGTAAAGAGGTGTGGGGACATTACCAAACTGGAGACTAAAGCTAATACGGTTTAGATGAGAACACTGTGGAAATATTTTCTTTACTGTCATGGTCTTCTTTCTAGTCTCCATATGCAGAGGGTCTAACGGTGATGTGACATCAATGGAGAAGGACGCGCAGCACACTGCAGGTGGGCACCGGGAAGCACAGTGCGAACTTCCTGAGCGGAGCATCTAGTGCAAGTCAGAGCAAGGAAAGCCAAAGCACTCCCTACTAGACACACCTGCCCTGCATCTGTTGCCGGCATTTGGAGCTCTAAGTTATACTATTTTACAAATTAACATCTAAGAATATTTTTCAGGAAGTGTCCTCTCTGCTCGCTTTGTTTATGGATTAGCAGAACATGACTGAATAGGAACTTACATCCAATTATCTCTAAACCCCAGTAACATTTTTGGAGGCATGATCTATCATAAATATTTAACTGTTTCAAAGAGATTGCAGGATAAGAAAAAGAGACAGCAGCAAAGATGAAAGAGGTGAAGGAGCAAAAAGCAAACAAACAAACCAACCCCCCCAAAACCCCCAAGATGGTTTATAAGCAGTTTTTTTCCAAACCAGACAAATGTAGCAGTTTGAGTTGGGTATTTTTGAAAGAAGGCTGTCTCGTGGAAGGCAAAACCAAGAACAACCATTGGGAAGCCTGGTGGGATCGAGGGAAGGAGGAGGGTAGGAGTTGTGAGGGCACCTACAGGGAGAAGATTATTCACATTTTCCATTCTTGGATTTGAAAGCCTGCTCCAAAAATCAGCCCTTCATATTGCATACAGCTAGTCGCCAGTTACTCCCTAGGTGTCTCTGAATCACATCTGCCTCATTTACTGACAAAAGCAACTTGTTATTACAGTCAGCACAGCACAGCTCATCAAGCTGTGAAAGTGGGAGCTGCAGTCAATGATGTCTTGTGCATCATCAACAATTGCTAGCTAAGTGCTGATTTGAGAACCATTATATCAGGGGATGACGAATGATGGCTAGGGAATACGGTTTCATCCTCACATCAGCAGGCTGAGATTGTGACCCTGGCAGTTGTCAAGAGCCAAAATAACCTGCCTGCATCTGCTCCCTTCCAGAGAGATGTTTGCTTGGAAAAAAAATGAACACTGTATCCAGTCCCCACACAGCTACGATTTTGTCAATATTAAAATCAGTCAATCAAACCAATAAGGTTATATGTTATATAAGGTTAGTTTGTCAATATTAAAATCAATCAAATCAATAAAGTTAAAATAAGGTTATGTATATAACCTTATAATATATAATAAACATTGTAATATATATAATGTTCTATTTACTAACAGATACAGAGATGTAAGGTCAATGCCATCATCAGATCTGGGGCATTTTTGATATATCAAAAGCAGAATAGCAAGGAGCATTAGGGAAGGAAAAGTAACTCGTTCTGCATATGGGAAAGTTTGCATTACTGAACTTGGCAACACATAAGCACTTGAGAAAGCCCAAGTGATGGGAATAATGTGTACCAGATGGACACTCAGCAGCAAAGAGGAAACCTACTGCTGAATGGCTAAGGGGAGATTTTGCTGTCATACTGGAAAAGAAGTAGTGCTGGCTTGCACACCACATGCTGAAGTCATTGGTATATTTTGGGATTACTCAGATCTGCATTTTTTAAGGCCTGCACATAATGCATATAAATCAATGCCCACCGAAGGCAGTAAAAGGACTCCAAATGATTTTTATGTCCACAATCTAATATGCTTGAAAGAAGAAACTAAGTCTGGAAAGTAAGAAGAGTCGTTAAGTGGCCTGAAGTGATAAGGCTGGAGAAGCAGAGAAGAAAGGCACTGACTGACTACCAGGCCAACCACACAAGGAGGAGTTAGCACTTCCAGGAAAGTAAGTAAACAGCTCTTGCTGATAGCGAGGTAATGAAGTCTGCACATGTAGGAGACATGGTGAAAATAACTGACACTATGATGCCTAAGCTGAGTGACAGCTGAGCTAAATTACTGAAAGAGCAATGAACAAGGAACTCTCACAAGCAAGCCTATCCAGGACAGGTGCTGGGATTGGATACACCTTGAGCACAGAGAGCATCCATCTGCCAAAGACACTGGACAGATGGAACCCCTCCTGGAGCCACCTGTGCAAACAGGAGCGCAGCCAAAAGCCACTTCCTTGCAGACTTGTTAAGAAATCAGATTTCTGAGAGCTGGACACTTAGAGTAATCCCACAGGGAGAGCTCTAGTGAACTTAAACGTCTCCAGCTGAAATATCTGTAAGGGAAAAGATTTAGGAATAAGACTTAGAAAAATATTTTTAGTGTATAGCTCAAATACAAGAGCAAGTGTATTGCAAGAATTGTGGTCCTTTCTACCCCACCACTGCTGCTGAATAGTGTCTGCAGCAATCCTTAAAACATGCAATCCTTAGAAGTTTGACTATGAAAGATAACAAAAATAGCAATAGTCACAATCCACAGCTATGTTGGACAATCCATACACACTTTCTGAAAGTACAGCACGTACAAGAATGATCAGAGACCTATGGCTTGTAACAGTTAAAAGGTTAGACATGGACCAAGCAGATCATCATCAAGGGAAATGTGAGCTCTTCCCAAGAGAGACAGCATAAGTAGGAAAAAGAAATTGCTGCTGGAATTCTCTAATCAGAATAAAATTCCTCCCAACCAAGAAGCTGGAGAAAGAACCAAGAGGATGTTCTCCATCTGCTAGAAAGAAACCAGTGGAAAGATCCACCTTCCCTCCCAGAAATGAAAGGAAAGTGGGCAGAGAAAGGATTAGGCTGTACAGCTGCATGACAGCGCTCAACATTGGCCGCACGTCTATTCCCAAGACACAGAAGCTCTTACAACAGAGCTAACTTCAGATTACTGGTCTGGTCTCCAGCCTCTGAAGTACATTATATGTTCCTTTCTGCCACTAAACAGATATATTGGAGTACTGCACCTAAAATGAACACCAGAAAAGCAGGATAGTATGAGTCATACTTGTTCTTCATGAATTTATGCTGATGCCAAGGGATCTTAGTGGGCAAGAGGAGTTATGTTTGAGAAAAATCACAGGACACAGCAAGTTTTCCTAGCTTACCATCTGCACACCAGAGCTCTTAGACAGGATTTCAGGTGTTTGTATCCTGACTAGCTAATGCCTTTGGATTTCCCCATGAAATTCCTCTCCACAAGCACAGCTGCACTGCTTATCAAGTTTGACTTTTCAGCAGTTTATCAGATTAAACCCAGGTTACAGCTTTTTTTTTTTTTTTCTCCAAACACCCCATATAGCAACAACTTGAGGATACTTCCTGTCGACTCCAGAATAAAAGTATTCTGGCTTGATAACCACTCAACCTGCAGCTGCAGAGCTCTGTCCAAGCCATAACTGTTACTTTAGGAGCTGGAACAGCCCTCCGGTAAATATCTAATTACTATTCACTGCACATGCAAAGCAGAGCTGTGTTCCTTTTGAGCAGTCCCAGCAGGCTTGATTTGAAGATTTCACTGTTCTTGAGGAGACCTAATTTGCATGACTTCAGACAGGAGTCTCTCTGAAATCCTTGCACGTAAGGCATTGCCTCCTTACAACTACCCCAGGCATCAAGAGCTGGTCAGTACCCACAGCAGGTGAAAGAGAAACGGCTTTGGCCAGACTTACATCAGCCACAGGGATAAGAGTGTCAGCAAGGTGACCAATTCGGTTCTTTCTGTACAGCCAGGACATCAGCAGTATCCCCAGAGCCACATCAATCAGCAGAGAGACAAAGATGTTGGCTTTCCTACATGCAGGATAAAGAGAAACAGTGTTAGAGAAAATGGAAGGACAGTGTTTAATGTTTCAATGACAACTGTCGGCTTCACTTACATAGCATCTTTAATGTCCGAGGGACACCAGGACAATTTACTGAAGAGGCACAGTGTAGAGATCTTTTGACTTTCACTGGTGTGCTGCTAGTTCTGTGGCCAGACACAGAGCCACGTGGAGCCTGCCACACCACAAAACCTTTTTTAGTAAGGGGAGTGAAGAGTGGGATTGAAGCTACAACGAGGAATGCTAGACAAAGTGTGTGTGTGTGCGCACGTATATACACACACACACACACTCGGGGGGGGGGGGGGGGGCTTTCAAAAATCATAGGCCGCACCCCCCCGGAACAACCCCGGGGCT